CACACACAACTATATATGTAATTTGTAATATGTATTACATAATTTGGTAGTCAAATTACACAGTTACTAATCATTGGTTTAAAAATTGTGCAATCATTTCTTTATTCGACCAACAGAAAAACTATGGAAAGATGATGCTGTGAACTACGCTGGTGAAATGGTAACTACGCGAACTTTTGACAGTTCTTTCTTCCTTAGTGGGACCCTGTCAGAGTGCACAGCACACTCTAGGTTTTGATAACCAACGAGACTCAGATCGCAAACCTTCCGATCGGGATCCACAAAACAACAGTGCACCTACCCCTAGGTGCCTGGAAATTCGCATGGAATTGACAAAAACAGAAATAAAAATAAAAATACGCCTTATTTCACCCAAGGACGATTCCGCTCAGACACTCAACTTAATCCTCGGATCTTACAGCGCAATTGCAACGTGTGATGGGGAAATTATTTACCTATTTTGTTTGAATGGGCCCATTCGAGGATGACAGGCCTTAGACAAGACACATGTACTTGTGCTGTGGTGTTGATGGTGATGGGTTTCGCCTGTTCTGCCGTTATTGATTATCCACAAATGAAAGGCATACATAAAGATATATATATGTATGCAATAGAATTATTGTGTGTTCTCCTCGACGTAGTTATATGCCATGCGTTTTATCGACCATCTTACAATAACAGAGCGACATATTATTTACTTTCGTTCATACGGGAGTATACTGCACACAAATATGCCAAAATTTCATAGGCGTTTCTGACGATCAGTTGTTCATGCATATGACGAAGTACAACCGTGATTCGAGAGCTATCAATTAGCTAATTGTGGAGGTCAATCTGCCTGCAGGTGACACTTGAAATTCCTAAACTTTGGAAGTAGTTCAGTTTGGCATAGGTGAACGACTGTAGTAGTATACGGTCAAACCGGTCGCCAACTTACCTTGATACCATAAGCGGTTTGCAATTGCTTATTCTCAGAACACAGAAAGATCACAATAAACAAAAGTAATTCCGTGGATATTGAACGCATTTGAACCAATAGTCCACCGGTTCCAGTCTGAATCCAGATATCCGTGCAATCTTTTTCACACCTGTTTCTAATATCAATTGCCGGCGGCAAAGCATACACACAGACGAATGTAGTCCACAGGTATACACCGAGAGAGAGAGCCACGCACGTGTNACACACACACACACACACACACACACGTGACACAATCAGTCGAACGCAGCAAGGTATACGGTAGAAGACTTCGGTAAGTAGGGACGTGGTTTACTGAATCAAGAATAATTAACCAATTACCCACTCACCCGCCCACTAGTAATAACCATTACACATGTACACAAATTGGTTGTGTACAAGTCACATGGTCTCAGCGAATGGATCAACGAGAGACAGGGTGACGGTGACAGTCATGCACACACACACACACACACACATTCTCTCGCCGTCAGATCTGATCCAAGTTCGT